CTCAACGCCTGTCAGCGGTGTCCCCTACGAACCTCCAGCTCTCACTGTAGAGTCTGCAGAGCCGAGATTGAGTAACAAAGTCCTCACTTCGAAGAGGATTCCCAATCACTTTCGCGGTCTGCATCGTCTTCATCTCTCAACACATTCCCCTATCACCATTATCATGAAGCTAACCACGATCAGATCAGATGGTAGGGTCGGAGCTCTACTCATCACCAAACCTTGATCACGGAGGAAAAGCCATCCGATGAGTTTCCGGAGCGCACCCAGCACCCGATACGAAGATGGTGGATTGGATCAAGTCGGCCTCGACTGTTACAAAGAAGGGAGATGTAGATTAATATGCGCACCTCATGTGGTCCCGGTGTCTAGACCTCGCCTGGCTGGGACTGCAGGTTTTTTGAGACTTTTTCCCGCGCACGCAGTTTCCATTGCTACCATTTTTATTTTTTTTGGATAGAGGGTTCCGTGGAAAAGGTGGCAGAATTCCACGGGTAAATACTGAGCTGAATGGCTATTCATCAAGGGGAATATATCAATGATCTTTCAAGTAACAAAAGAGGATAGGAGCACTGTACAAGGTGTGGCCTGGGTCAGAGAGGAGCCCAATGTGCTAGATAGTCATAGACTCAAGTAGCACAATAAACACAAACACACACACATACTGTCAGGAAACTAAAACTGACAAAATGGGAATCGAGGCGAGGAGTATTGCTTCCCATTATAAATTATTTGCAATTTATCTTTTTTTTTTGTCAATTTTGGGAAAAGGAGTTCGCGTCGGCGCATATTTTTAACTTACTGCTGGTTTTGTGGTGGTTCATGCGGTGGAATCAAGCTGGGTATGTCTTAGATGTAGTTCTGGCTGTGAACATCGGTCCTGTACTCATAGTGGATTTGGGGCTTTAGCTTAGGACTTGAATAAAACAACAACAACAACAACAACTGTCAGGAAACAGACGATTATTTAAAGTCACATGACCTAGCTTAGTAAAACCAGCGACCCACTGCAAATATATATTTTGTAGATACTTAGATATCCTTACCTTCCTCGTAGACAGTCTCATTCAACAAGGTTAGATGTCGTCAATCTCAGCTAATAAAGCATCTCCTGACAATTACCTATACTTTGAAGAAACGAGGATTTAAACCAAGCTCGGCATATTTGTTGAGCAGGTTCAAAATACGTCGACTCATTACTGGCCAAGATAGTCTGAGGATAAGAGTCGTAATTTCGTTTCTACTGAGAGACGCAGAAATCACCTGACAGGTAGCCCTGAATGTATCCTCCTCGATTAGTGGCTCCCAAGGAATGGCTCTGAAGGCAACTGTGGGTGTTTCTGGCGGAATGCCCGAGGTGTGTATATGTAGAGAGAGAAGTATTCTATGTAAGGAAGTAGTTAAACTTTCCTCTGCAGCTATTGATGGTGACATGAATCGAGGTGATGATTATGATTGAGATAGATTTCTATTTTATTATACATGATATGCTCAGGCTATAGACCTCGAGCCAAGCAACCAGATTATGTTCTTCCAGATCTAGATTCATCAGATTAATCACTTACTCAGTAAAATTCTCCTAGTCTCAGTTGTGTATTTAGGTTCTTGACTAGGCTCCTAGTAACTAGTCAATGATGTTTCTCCTATCACTGAGATATAGTTATGGTTGATACAACAAGTATAAACAATGAATCGTGTCTATACATGACATTGTAAAATGGTCATGACCGTTTGAACATTATCAACTCATGAATGAATCTTGTCTCTACATGACTCTCTATTTGAGAGGACGGCTTTTTGCTTGGGGCACTGAACATCAGAATTGTCGTCGATACCTTTGAGTGATGGGAGTGGAAAAAGAGAGCAGTGTTATGCTAGTTGACTATTTCGTAGACGTCTATATAAAAATCTCCAACTTCTTAACTTTCGCTTCTCAAAAGCTCTTCTTATTCTTATGACAGCTTTCCGAAGTTCTCGCTTCTCAAAGTCAGGCCGTCCCAGCCGTCTCGCTCTGCAGCATCTACGTAAAACTGTTCTGCACTCTTCATTCCACCAGGAAGAACCTCTAAAGGTGTTCTTGTGGTGAAGACAGGTCGTCTCTAAGGCAGTGTGTCCAAACGAGAGCGTTCTGTTCTTCTCAGCAATTGAGTGATAAAATAAAAGCCGAATAATCCTCGGCCCAAGGTTTGTCAACCAAGGTATCATATTAGAACAGGCAGCGCCAACATGAACTTCAAAGATACACCCTTGAAAATCCACCGTAACCTAACCAGAGCCCAAAGCAGTATCGCCATTCAGCTAAGAAGCGAGCATATCGGACTCAATTCTTACCCGTGCAGAACAAAAGTAGCCGGAGTAGAAAAGCCAAGCTATCAATGTGGATATCCGTCGCAAAACGTCAAGCGCATGGCGTTGGCGTGTCCGCAGTGAGCAAATGGAAGAGGCGACTTTCTCTGACGAGCTAAAGACAGGCCATTTGAAGCAATGATGAACAACCCAGAAGATGTGGCTAGAATCACACGGTAGACACTAAACAAAGGGTGGATAAAACAGTTTCGACTGGCAGGAGAAGTCGAGGTAGCAATGTCGGATAAAGTAAATAGATCTGGAAGCGGAGGGGACGGAATCCACATTAGCTGAACAGTGTACACTGTACTTCCTAAAGGCAAACTAAATAAATTGATCGGAATATAAACAAACAGGATCAAGGGGTTTTCACCAAATTGCTTTGATCCTTTGCAAATAATGCAGGTAGTCACCTGCACTGACCCATAGGGTGCCTGATCGGGTAAAATGAATACAAATTCAAAATTCAAACCCTCGACAGCTCCTTTGCAGTTCACTGGGGTGTTGTAAATGATTTACTTGGCAGTTTCCGACCGCGCCCGCATGGAATGGGAATTTGCACTCAGTCTGAGGAAGTATTTACAGCAGTCTGGTATGGGTGCAGCCCCCATAATTTACGGACGTATGTTGTGGCTCTGGGACTATGTGCCATTCAGAGACGGTGGAGTAAGCCATGAAGTTAGGGTATGATAGTGATCGCCTCGCGGAAATATCTCTGAGAATCCAAGGCTCCTCGACTGCAAGAATATCAATATCGTTATCCTGCACGAGTTGAAGTGCAACATTACCATGGTGCCACGGTGTCGAGTTTGCAATGACGCTTTGGCAGGGGTTTTAGCGTGTAACATAAGACGCCTTAGGCATAGTCACCTTCCATATCGGAGTTAGCCCCCGTATTTGTGCAAATTTTTGAAAACTTTTGTGTAGCAGTTTTAATCTGGACACCATAGTTTGCAGTGGGTCTTTCCTTCGTACTAAACCTAATTTGTATAATGATCGGCTGCATAACATTTGTGCATTTTTGCTACTTGACTTTATAACTTATTTACAAGAGTTCAAAGGTTTTAAAATTACAAAATAGAGCCAGTCTTATCCTAAGCTTAGATCTGAACATGTGGCTGGAATATTTTCAGGCCTTGATATCTGGTCAGTCCCCCATCCGCATCTACCATAGCCTGACATCTTGCTGGCATACTCTGAATGAGTCTCACAAGATCTTCGGAAGACACGGCATACCATGCCTCCTTTACGATGTTGCGAAGACTATCTTGAGTTCGCTACTTTCCGCAACCTAGATTCGGATGATGACTCTGGATGTAATCCTTCATCTTATTCCAAACAGCTTAAATCGGGTTAAGATCAGGCGAGTTGGCCGGCCGGAAAATCGGTTGAATGAGCCTCTGGCTCATATCTTCCATTGTAATTGCGGCTGTGTGGGCAGGAGCATTATCCTGCATAACGGAAAGCCGAGGTCTCATCGAGACTATGCCATCGATAAGAGGAACTATCTTCTCGCAATATTTTTGGGAGTTAATGGAACCCCATACCTTCTCCAAAAACAAACAAAGGCCTTTTTCTGGCCCTGCGAAGCAACCCCAGAACATCCATCCGACTCTATTCTTCGGTTTTTCTCCAACACCATCAGCGTTGTATTCTTGGGGAAGTCTAGGTCATAATGTTAGAGCGTCAAATTACCATCTTCTTATTGAGGAATGTACGAACGCTTCTTGTCACCCATTCTCTAGAATGTCTTCCATCCTCTACCCAAGTTTCGTCTGTCAATAGAACTGACGTCCAGACTTCATATGTCCAATTGAGATGAGCTTCGGCCCATTCTCTGCGTCTCTTCATAGTTTTCTGAGATATTGGAGGCTTTAGACGAGCCACATGTCGCTGATTTCCTCTTTATTTTTAAGTTCTCTTTGTATTACCCGCTCGCTAACACCATGATGTCTAAAGGGGCCAGAGGCGAGTTCCAGAAATGTTTTGCAGCGGTTTCCTGGTGAAGACTCAACGTAAGATATAATCTGATCAACATCATCTGCTTTCAGTCTTGAGGATGTTCTTTTTCTCTTTTTGGGGGAGACAGTTCCGCGGCGCAGTGAATAGCTTATTTGTCACTGAGAAATGGCTAGTTGCACGGCAATTTGCGTCTGGTTTTTGCCAGATTCATGGAGCCCACAAATCTTAAAATTTCTTTTAATTTCAATTCGTTTACATTTAATTTTTCGACTTATAAAATGTTTTGATCTCTGGATAATTGTTTGATTCGAGGTGTTGAAGGTGGGGTTTGAGGTGGATTCATCTGTAAAATAAGGTTATTATCGAGTAAAGCCATGTGTCTTCTAAATAAATAACTTTGTATTTGAGAAATCTAATTCTTATTGTAACTCAAGCACAAAGTGAGAAGAGCTGTGTAATTCTTTAGCGGTGGCGCTCATCAAAGCATTGGGAAAGAGTTAGAGAGCGGGTTGGATTTCCATATAACTGAGGGTGACATGAAATGTAATTATGCCCTCGATTTAGGCCTGGAAGTACAGGACAAGAATTATGTACCCTGTCGAAATCGGCGCTAACAGGGGTGCAACCCCCGTAGCGAATATGTGCCCCATATAAATCCACTAAAAACTTGAAATCGTGGCACCACAGTACAGTCAAACCCCTGTCAAGACGATGTAATCGGGGCCGTGAAAAATATCGTCAGACACAGAATATCGTTGCTCCACAGAAATTCCCTTTTTTGGCGGAGTCTCTAGAACCAATCCATCAATGAAACCCTGGTCAAGTCGATATTCAGAGGTTGAAGAACGATAATCGTGTAATCGGTCAATGTATGGGAACGAAGTCCGTTCTAGGAAAAATTGTCGTCTTAACAGGGGTCTGACTGTACTGTGTGTTGGCGCAAGACCCGCATTTATACTGGCGAGTACAAGTCCTGGTGGAGTGAAAGCCGAAGAATCCACCACAGTGAGGTTATAAGTTCCTAGGATGATACGGTGGTAAAATGTGGATGTACGAAAGTCTTAGGTCAACAGTGTCTCTGGATTTCTGCTATATCTTCTATATCTTCTATATAGTGAAATCTTAAGACGGTGTATAACTGTCTTCTAAAATTACAGGATGTGTCTAGTATATACAGATTTGGAGCTTAGCGTGCATTATGCATAAAGACTGGGGTACACGTGACAAATTATAATACAATGTTTATGATTAGGGATCCTCAACGGGCCACTGCTTGTCTTCGGTGTGGAACACGCTATACACACGTGGCATGTCCGAAAAGCTGCGGTCATAGTAGGAACTTATGCGTCTTAGCTTCTGGGACGTGTATTTGTTTATACCCGGAAGGGCTAGCAGATTTAGCAGAACGTTTGGTCCTGCTAGTTGTCGGGTGAGAATTGCATCGTTCATGGCTGCTTTGGCAGGCTCTGGTTGGAGAAGGCCGTCGACTGGGTCAACAGCTCCCTCTGGGGTGGTAACCTCCTTTGGGACAGACCCAACAACAAATATCGTCCAAATTTCTGTTCTTTCTGCCGTGGCATTACCGAATTGTTCGGCGATGATATGTTTGAACTCGAGAATTATTGATCGGCACAGAGAAACCTTAAGAAATGTTTGAAGTGTATTTATTCTCTGTCCTCCTCAGTTCTCTCCTCGTTCTTTTTTTTTTTTTTGCATCAGATTTTAATTGCGTATGCAGCTATCTAGCTATGACACAATATCAATGAAAAGTACAGGACAGATGGTTCAACGTAAAGGAAGAGCACTCATGCCTCAGATTTCATTTTCAAGTACCACTGCGAAGTTATGGTGGCTTTTACTTCACCCCAAGTCAACCCTCGTCCGTGGATACCTACCCAGGGGAACGTCTCAAAAACCCTAGGTTATCTAGACATGCCTCCATCATCCGTTCAAATTTCTCCGCGCGAAATATGGTCTTTGGTGTCACCTTTCCAAGTGGAGTAGGTACCCAGGCTACTCAAACTATACCGGAGAACACCACCAGGGGACGGACCACAACACCTTTCATCGTTGGCTTGTGTTTACAGTGTCAGCTGCACTCTCGCAAGCGAAGTCTTGGCGCGCACAAAGCTTAATTCGTAAAACTCCTTTCCAAACTTCGGAATTTCATGCCCTTCGAGTATGTATTCTTCCTTTGCATAATCTTGTAAACTTGTCCTGATCTCTCTCATGTCCATCCCAAAGAACTGTCTCCCAGATTTATGCGCCACGCTTTGCTTCCTCCGTCGGGTATAAATATCGGCGTAGGCGTGTATTTGGTGGTCAACTAAGGCCAGAGAAGGTCGAAAAGAGGTGTGGTCATTGGGATGAGGATGTACTAGGTCGTACTTATAGACTTGATGAGACTTAGGTAGGCGTCAAACTCGTTGGAAGCGAAATAACGACATGGTGGAGTAATATGAATTTTTGCCTCGTGGGCCAACTTCTTTGATAATGCGAAATTTGACTGAACTTGGCTCTGGGAGAATCTCTCCTCATTCGCTAAAATACATTCTTTTTATTTTTTTATTTTTATTTATCTTTATTTAACGTCTGGCGGATCACGCGTCAAGCGAGTAACCCTATTAAGTCCCTAATGAGACAAAAGACGCCAGGATTTAATCTCTGGGCTTCTACATGTTTTAAAGGAAAGCTAAAAAAACAAAATTTAACTATTTAACATATAAAGGAGGTGCATTCACATAGCTACTTCCCGCAGTTTGTTAGGCTCTTATTTGTGGTGGTAAGATACTTGCTCGGCGCCATTCTCTGCACAGGTCAACCCACACTCCCTGTTGACCTCCACTACCGGAAAAATAAATTAGAAAAAAACAAGGAGTCTAAATTGCTTATCTTCCTTCCTTCGTTTCCTGGTTTTTCGCGACACTTGAAACCTCAAGATTATGGGCAGATATCTGTGAAGAATCGGGTTTCCTGTAGCCATTCTCCAAATCTTTGACCTCCTTCATATGTGCCAAGAATGAACGGGATCATTTCCGAAGGCGGACCCTGCATTAGTCGTGATCTTCTTTTCGCTATATGACAGAAAAAGCAATGTAGTGGGGCCTTACGACGGCCACATCGGCAGTAATTTGATGCATTTTCATGATTGAACCGCTCGTGATAGTCAGCGAAGTCGCCGTGCCCAGATCTAGCTGCTAGAATTCGACCTAGAGTGGCGCGCGGAAGGGCAAGTTCTTTTGGCCTAGTGGGTGCTGATATTATTCCTAGCTTTTCGTAGCCTAGGTGCTGGGGAAGGAGATTTCTCCAGAGGTTGCGAGAGGCTTGCGTTGTTGACTCTTTTGCCCAGCGCTTTAGCCCCGCATATGTGAAAGCGAGGTCATCTGGAGTTGGTAACTGGCAGCCATCTTTCGCTGCTTTGTCCGCAGCTTCATTTCCAACTATCGATGCGTGACTCGGGACCCATCGGACCCGGATTTGGTCCCGTCTAGTGTGGGCCAGCCGTGAGCGGTCTTGCCATTTGGGATTTAAGGTGAGGAACTCGTCAAATTGCGCTTGTGAGGACCCTGAAAAGGGGAATAACAGTGGAGTGGCAACTTCCAGATTATCTAGACAAATCCATAGATCTGTCGCGAATTTGGCAGTTGGGAGTGCTAGTGCGGACTTTGCCCCCTCTAGGGCACCTTTTACTTCCGCATCGAAAACTTCGACGCCTTTTCCAAGGGCAAGACTTTGATGCAAGACTTGTACGCCTCCTTGGTATCCGATGAAGCCAGCGCCGCTCAAGCCGTTTAGTTGCTTAGAGCCATCCGAGTAGATAATGATGTCTCCGAAGGGGATGGTCGTAAGAAAGTCAAGGAAGGACTGTTTGTTTTCCTCTGTAGTGGTACTGTTCGAACCAGCCACCCGAGATTGTGCAGCTTCACGGCTCTCACGTGGATTCCAAGGAGGAATAGCGATTGCATTGATTTGCTCTGATCTGGGGAGTGAAAGTACACGTCGGGCAAATCGAGAGGTAGCACGCTGTGAGCTGAGAACTCTGTTAGCACGACGTAAGAGCGGGTTTCGAGGATCCAGACGGCGTAGTCGGACGGTGGCTGCAAGTGCACGGCCATCAAGGGCTATTTCCGGCTGCTGTAGCCCTGATTCGCGATGAAGTATCGCTGTTGGTGTGGTGCGATACACTGGAAGTGTCGCGCGGGCAGAGGCAAGCACGACCTTGGAGAGCTGTTGTAGTAGGGAATCTACACGGTTTGATATGCGTCCCGTGGGACCTTGTCTAGATCTGCCTGGCCACCAGGATTCTGAGGCGTAGTAAACGATGGGGAGGACACATGAATCTACTGCACGACGCAGTAGATGAGGAGGAGCCCCTCTTGTTGTATTACCAAGGGATGACAGAGCATGGCTAACCTTGAGGGCCTTTGAGGCGAGGGTTCGAGCGTGCCACTTAAAGGAGAGCTTTTTATCAAAGAGTACTCCAAGCCAGCGAGTGTATGGGCGAGTAGTATTTTCAGAGACGGTAATAGCGCCAGCACTTACCATGGGAGTATTTGTGGGTTGTTGGTCGAGTCGGCGGCGAGAGAAATGTTGAAGCTCATACTTGTCTTCGTCAAATTTCAAGCCCTGCTCTATGCCCCATTCCATGGCTTCCTGGAGGCTGAGTGAAAGAGATTCGGAATTTTCCTGGAGGGATGGAGAGGTGTGAAGGAAGGCGATATCGTCTGCGTATCCAAATCTTGTTTTGGCGGTTTCCATGTGGAGAAGAGGTGCAAGATATAGCATGAACAGAATAGGTGATGCTGGCGAGCCTTGTGGGAGGCCACAGGAGACATCAAATTCGGGACCGGTAGAGCCATCTAGACGAATCTTGGCCACGCGATTGGAGGCGAAAGAGGCCACCCACTTTACCAAATTATCAGGCCATCCTTGGTCTCTAAGTCGATGGACTAGTCGGCCAGGAAGTACGCTATCAAAAGCACCCCTCACATCAAGCGTCAGGAGGGAATGCTAAAATACATTCGAACCATTTATAATCATGTTAGAACTTAGAATAATTGGGGCAATCACGTGGGCCACGTTGTTGATCTACACGTGACTTCAAATTCTGTACTTAGTTTCACTTCTGTTAAATTAGGAGGCCTTCTATAGCTGTATAACTGTAGAGAAGACAATAGAATTATCACAGTGGAAGGAGGTCAGATAGAATGAGAAGCGATAGTGTGCTATTTACAAAAGAGTGACGGACAATAACTACTAAGTACAAATTTCCTCCACGCGGCTGATCTGCATGAGTAGCGTTATTGACGCGACTCCTAAGCTTGACCTTGACTGGCTCGGCAAGTTCCTACACCAACCAGACACACCTTGTCATTTAACAACTTCGGTATTAACTTGGATTAATGCGCTCTACAACCTCAATGACTGAGGGGTCATTATTTCCTTAATATATCATATCATTTCTGCTTGGCATATTAGTCGAATGAGTTGAGCTAGTCTGGGTATGAAACAGTTTCCCATATCAATCTCCTGAAAATTACAACCACAAGAATCTCTAGCATAAAGCACACGCAAAGATAAAATGAGCGAACATGATTTGGTAAGCCTGATCAAAGCGCGCGCGTTAAGGAAATGGGAATGACATATGCTGAAAATTTGCAAGGTAGCTCTCAATCAATATAAGTGAATTTAGTGTGCGCAAAAAATTGATGCTTGTCCAAAATTACTGCTCGCTTTAGCCAGAGTGCTACTATTGTGATTCCTGAAGGCATTTATCATGTATCTACTACTAATAATGGGTCGGACATGAGCTGCTGAAATTACGGCCGGAGTGGGAATAGTTCTGCTTTGCGAGCTTCATGTTGAGTATTAAGAAGTAACATCGTATTCTTATATTCTTTGCGTTGATGCTGTGGCGGAGATTGACATTTGTCCCACTTACGTCCCAAGCTGCGATTTTAGCTGCCCAAATATCGCTCTTCCAATTGATTTCGTTATCATAAGCACCCTCCGTGATTTCGGAGTTATTGTAAATCTTTGCCTCCCAAATTGCTTGGAACACTACATCGTAAGTCCGGGGAAGACACTCAGCTCCTGCTTCTGGGAAGACGTTCGCAATTTATACCAGTTATGGGCCGGCTAGATATGAACTCTGACCGTTCTCATAAGATTGGTGGTAAGTGGGCCTACCTCCAAGGCCCCGTCGTCTATCTGAAGCTGTTTTTTCTGTGATAAGTGTTGTTCCGAATCCGTGGCGCTTCGGATAAGATCGTCAGCGACATATTTCAGAGGCGGCTGAAGGAGGAGAGAGAGGTATGTTTATTGTACTACTTAAGTCTGTGACTATCTAGCAGATTGGGCTTCTCTCTGACCCAGGCCACACCTTGCACAATGCTCCTATCCTCTCATGTTTCTTAAAAAATCGTTGATATATTGCCCTTGATAAATAGCCATTCAGCTCTATAGTTACCCGTGGGATTCGGCCACCTTTTCCACGGAACCTTCTACCCAAAAAAAATAAAAATGGTAGCAATGGAAACTGCGTGAGTGGGAAAAGGTTTCAAAAAAACCCCTGTAGCCCCAGCCAGGCGAGACCCAGACACTGGGAGCACATGAAGTGCACATGTTCATATATACCACCCTTATTTGTAGTAGTCGAGGCCGACCTGATCCGGTCCACCATCTCCGTATCAGGTGCTGGGTTCGCTCCGTTAACTCATCGGATGGCTTCTCCTCCATGATCAAGGGTGGGTGATGAGTAGAGCTTCGACCCTACCATCTGATCTGATCGTGGTTAGCTTCATAATAATGGTGATAAGGGATTTGTTTAGGGATGAAGACCATACAGACGGCGAAAGCGATTGGGAATCCTCATCGAAGTGAGGACTTTGTTACTCAATCTCGGCTCTGCAGGCTCTACAGTGAGAGCCGGAGGTTCGTAGGGGACACCACTGACAAGGGTTGAGAATAGTCCCTCTCGGAACAGAAAATGATATGAGCTGAATCCAGAGTATGATCCGGGTCAGGAAAGAGCCCATAGTGCTAGATAGTCATTCGCTCAACCAGCTCAACAAAAATCAAACCTAACCTCTTGCGCCTTGTCAATAGGGCGAAATCATTCAATTTCGCTGGCTTCAGTAATCGCACAACTTCAGAGCGTCGGGCTTTCTTTCAAATACTTACCGACACCATATGTACCCACTGCCATCTTTTCAGGAATCATCGTCCACGTTGCTAGTAATGATCAAATCTTGGCTTAAAATACTAGAGCTTTCCCAAGATCATCAGGTACAGCAATTAACAATGGCCAGCCTTCGCTCAACAAGAATGGGATTCTTCCCTCAGTCACCAGAGATGGACACAAATCCGAAGAGATCAACGGCATAGCTAAACAAATTGCTTTTCAATCCTTCGTATATATCTTTGTTAGCGGGACGGCTTGGCAGCGCTGGATGTTCTGCACAACCAATCTTTGCGAGATAGCTGTAATCTCTAAACGAATCCTTCGCTTTAATTAGATTTTGCTATCCGCCTAAGCTCTCTCTCGGACTTAAGAGATATAAAGTTGAATCTAGCCTAGACCTACGGCTGTATACCATAAAAGATATGAATAGGCCTTCAAGATTTTACAGAGTACTGGCAGGTCTTCTAGTCTACATATCTTGTGCAGTTCTCACCAGTGCAGATTATATTTGCGGTGAAAATGTCATACTTCAACATAATATAGAACAAACCCTTAAGAATGCCTATGACGGCCTCTTAAAACCAGGTAGAAAAAGAATATACCCAGCAGCATACGATGGATCAACTACCTTTTAAGTATTTGACGCTGTCCTGTTCGCCTGGCCTCTTTTAAGTAATAACAAAGCATATGCGAGAGGTAGAGACAACACTCCGATATCGACTGTTTTGGAGCGCTAGTTGCGATGATTAGTTTACTAAGAGTGTTTAGGACCTACAGGAAACCTTCGTCTAATCATAGACTCGAGCTGCAATTTTTTTGGAATCATAATCAGATCCAAAGCTTCATCAGAACGACGGTGCTACAGATCCGCAGCACTACCAACAGACCTTGATCTTTCTGACAGCCGCGCCGTAAGAAGACTACCAGGTTTCCGTGGCTACAAATGTGATAAAAGGATATATGATAATATGCGACTAGAAGATATACTTAAAGCGACTCTCAAAAACTACCAATCTTGGAAATCTGAGAGTCTTGTAAACAGTCTCGAAGGACTCGATGCTATTGACAAGTTATTTGGAGAAAGCGTTTTGTTGCTTCCAAGTCAAGTTATCTATGCCCCAGAACGAATCAACTGTAAATTCATTATCCTGTAAATTCACGTATATGGCTGCCTAACTGATAAATAGTTGTGTCTTTCCATCACAATCTCATGGTAATAGATTCTCAGCATAAGTTAATAGGCATGGTAAACAGAGTAGGCACGCAATGGAAAAAGTGTGGTGTACTCCGGGAAAGAAGGCCAGAACGTCCCCAGGCCGTGGATCGGACAAGAAATTCAATTGGAGAGCGAATTTTCAATGATGTGAGCGATTATAGATGCAATTCACTCCTATTTACGAGAAGATCAGTCAATAGCCACATGCAAGTAGCCTGCAAGATAATAACGCCGCCAGAGGGAACTCCCGCGAAGACTTGGAAGAACTATCTTACTCCAATGGGAAAAATACCAGCCATAGGAAATTTTAAAGTTTGGAAAATGAATTTGAGACTGCCAGAAACCAATGAACTTAATGACGGTAAGGATCAGCCCCATTTTGGTATCATTCATATTAACTTTATCGTGAAAGATGAAAGTATGTCGAGTAATGCCATAATTATTCTAGATCAGGAATGCAATTTCTACGGGGTTTATTGGCACACTGTTAAGGATCTTACTTTATGCGTCGACCTGTCACTTTCACAACCGCAAAAAAGACTGAAATACCGAAGATAAACACAAAACTACATCATAGTTTGATGCAACTTCGTAGCTCAGCTTTTTCCAATAAATGAAAATGAAATAAAGAGACGGAAAAAGTTCCGAAGTCAATTTTAGATAGTGGATATGCACTTGAGAGAATGAATAGAATAGAATTAAATAAAATTTGAGTTCGTACTGAGTCTATGACTATGAAGGACTCTGAAAGGATGCGCTGTGCTGTAAAAAGGAGTATTACCGTTTCGTTTGAAAAGGTTGTTATGCAGCTATTGTTATGATTGTAAGCTGGAGAATGGTATTGTCACATGCACATGAGAGAGAGTATTATCCATGGAAGAGATGAGAAAGCTGTTGGTTGTTTATCATTTAACTTTGTCCACCTTTAATATATATACCAGACATTAAGTTCCGCGGGTCGGCAAAGACGAATTCTTCACCTTCCAGTGGTGCCGGTGTAATCGCTCAGTATGCTTTGCATATGTGGGATAGCCAAGAAGAACCGCATCTGAATCGAAGTCGAAAGCAACCTCAAACATGTGGGGTTGGATGGTGCAGTGGTACACCATCCGGGCCGTTCTCCCAAGTAGATACTGGGTAGCTTGAACACCTACCCCATTCGAGACAGGAGAATGCTGGTACGAACCCAGTAAGACCCACACACCGCTCTCTCACGTAGTGATATTGTACTTGTGAGAAGATGTAAGCAGACCCGGTTAACCAGAGGGTTTTCACGCTTGTCCCTGTGGTGGATATGCAAGGAGGAAGATGTACGCCGTATATGTCAATTTCGAGTTGTATCTGCAAATGAAATCTGAGAGTGAGTGTTCTAAATGTCAAATTGAGTCATCCTACTAACATTGCCTCTAGAATCAGAAACGATAAGCTTGAAACTGGGATTGTATTATTGTATTACGGATAGGTCCTAAGCTAAAGCTCTTTATCCCCGGCGGATCAAGCGAGGTTCCCTCTAACTTTTCCTACAACCCAAACTCGTTCCAACCTCGTGAATCTCTGCCAAAAGTGCAGCTGATTAGACATAAACGAAAAAGTCACAAAATAAAAAATACCTCCGAAAACCAGAAGGTTCCTCCGTATTGGACCCAGCTAATGCGCTTCTCACACATTCCCTTGTCCGTCACACCTTCATAATGACAAATTTGCCTATTCTCCGCTGAGAGCGAAAGATGAATTACGAGGCACCTTTTATCCAGCCAGTATCCTGCTATTGGTTAGTAGATGCCCCAAAAGGGGACATCGTCGAGGTCGCTGTTCCCTCAAGCTTCTTTTTCAGATCCCAGCACTCCGAAACCCGATCCCTCGGCCATCGAGACATCCTTCGTTGAGGCCATCGTTGCCTCTTCAGCCCTTTTGGCAGCAGCCCTAAATCGAGCCACTTTCGCAAACTCCCCTTGCTGGATCTGGCGAATCCACGCGAGCTGCTCTTTTGTCACCGGTCCGGACTTTCTGGGTCTGATTTGGCAGTCCAGAGAATCCGATCGGTGGGGTCCCCCACAGTTGCGATACTCAGTGAGGGCCTTGTACTCGGCTTCCGAGTGCATGTTTGATCCGCAGTTCCAGCAGGCTGGAGCGCGGGAGCAACCACGGGTGGCATGGAAGCCCAAACAGCGTTTACACTGTTCAATTTGGCGACGAGGCTTGCGAATGGTAGCCATATCAGACTCGTCGAAGAGGCGGAAGCCCGCACGAGGGGCATCGTCCCGCGTAAAAGGGGCATGCCAGTTTCGATATGGTGCCCCAGATCGACACGTCCCATGAGGTCGGACCTGGATTGGATTTACGCCGGTCGTAATGGCGATTTGGATAGAGACCCGCTCAGCACTGACCGCCCTGGGTCCACCCTCTGAAATTGTACTTACAGGTACGTTCGGTATCTGTAAAGCGACAAGATTTGAAGAGGCCTCGAGTTCGACGTTTTCGCTCGCCAGCTTCGAAGAGCCATCTAGCATCTCTTGTCTTATTTTGTCGTTCTTTGCTAGCATAGCAAAGCCGATCCTCACTCGATGGAGTGAGGTTATTTTATCGGGAAAGTAAATGAATATATCCTCCAATTTACTTCTCACGCAACTTGTAGACAGATTTCGCAACGGTTGGTCCTTTTCAAGGCGAAGGAATAGCCGCTTATTGACTTTCGCCTTGGGAGTTACTTTTTGTTGGGCTTTGGCCGCAGGTCGCGGCACAGCCTTTACAGTTGGGACTGCTGTTACGTTGCAGTCCGTGTCTGGCCACCGTGGCCCAGGTGCTTTTGACAGGCAGAACTGGGACGGCGGGAGTTGTAGTACTCCTGGCTTCGGGAGCCCTTGGGGTTGAGTTCGCCGGGCAAGGAGGGAGAATGGGTGGTGTAATGGCCGGGCCCGTGACCATGTATTGCGCAATGGCGGCGCGTAAGTAGACTCTCATCTAGTCTACAAATTGTCTATTTGACCCGTTGGTCAAAGGGAGGAGGGTGACTTCGACGCCAGAGATGGCGGCAGAGCAGAGGGCCAGGTATGCCGCTGTTTCGGCGGCGCGTCGTTGTTCAGCTTCGAAGATTGGTCGGAGCTTGGGGGGACATTCTGCTTTCTGTTGGAATGAAATAACAATTGTTATACTAATAAAGATGTAAAAGGTTGAAGGAATTCAGAAGTACTTGATGTCGTTAACGCAATAGAATGAATAATTTTTCCTTGGGAAAGCTAAACTAACCTATTGTATCCTGTCCTTTATGTCTTCCGCGTACACTAGTTTTAACTCCCCCCTTTAGCCATATGAGAAATAATCCTTTCTCCCGGCACATTCTTCTCCTGTTTCGTACTCCCCCATCTGGTACGTTACCCCTTTAATACACCCTTAGCGCCCCATTTCGTCTATCCAGGAGTGTTGCTCTGCCGCTACCTTACCTTGGAGACGGAGTGGTCCTAGTGACCAGTCCCAATCCAGGCAAAGCCCGTCACAAAAGACTTAACAAAATTACAATACACATTTCCAGTCGTGTATACACCGTTCATAGTCCATGAGTGATCCAGCTCTGTAGAGCCAACACTAATGTCTTCTACTCGTGTCCTTTGCTCGTGTCCTAGACGGAGCGAGTGATCTGTCTTCCCGCCTCTTATTTAGTATCCGAAGGCCACTATCACGTGACCTAGACCTTCCATAATACAATATGTCATGTAGACTTCCTGCCCAACTGGTGACCACTAACAGTCAGGTAAATATGTGACCCATACGTTATTTACCCTGTAATACTAATGTATGTATTAGGTCTCAACACTTTCGTGGCAGCTGTTGGCTGCGACGTTAACTCTGATGCTGCTATAGGTGCAGCGTTTTCCGACAGTTTTGATGCGGTCTGAGGAGATTTTGGCGATTCTCCAATCCCATGGGGGACGGAGGATGGTTGAGGAATTTCCTCAACGATTTCGACTGACCCGATCATGTCAGCATCGGGCTCAGTGACGTCGGGAGGGCTTTTTCCTTCCCTTTAGTAGAGGCCTTGCTCATCTCCGCACATTTCGGAGACAGGACAAGGACAAATAATTTTTCGAGAGCCCTCGGGTGGACTCTCATGTTGTCCAACTTGGCGTTGGCACGCTTTTTTCAAACAGGTGGCATGATGAAAACGCCAGTGACTCGATCACAATTATTTGATAGGGTGCGACGAGCGCGAGAGGGATGGAGAGGGGGAAAAAGTTAATTTTCGAATTTCAAAAATTGTGTGAATGTATGATTAATTTTTTTGAAGGTCTCGGGCACCAGCCCGGCGCCTTATGCCACGGGACTATTGGGCTCGGTAAGGATTATCCTAAATAGCCATGCCCTACTCGTTCTCACCACACTGTTACTATGCGACTCTGATTGCAAACAACCAAAAACCAAAAACCAAAAGAAATAACAAACAAAACCAACTGTATCAAAGCCAATTAACATGTAAGAGCGGTGCTAGTATTTCTCAACCTATGCCCCCCTCAGTCATTTCTCTCGTCCTGACAAAATAATCGCTCTGGCCCTCGCATCCAGCTGAGGGCGCGTCTGCATCCATGCTCCCAGAGCAGCGGGTATTCCTTGCAAATTATATGAACTTCTCGAGGCCTTCCGGTCCAAGGAGTTGGTTGGTATAGTCCTCCACGGTCATGGATCTTCTCAACCTGCGCTTTATAGCAGCATTCTTCCGGCATCGGACAAAATGAGTTGGCGTTGTCCTTTGTCCACAGACGCATTCCAGTTTCGCGTCCCCGTGGTTCAGGCGGCGGTGATAATCCGCAAAGTCTCCATTTCCTGATCTTGCTGCCAGGAGCTTATGGAGTAATCATCGAGAAAGACCTAGTTCTGGTGGTTTCCGACGTCGCATCTGTAAGTCCAGGTCTCGATATCTGTCCGGACCCGACTTATTCCACCAGTCTTCCACTAGTTTCTGTCGGCGATTGTGCATCATACGGCGTATGTATGCCTGCGTTGTCTGCACTGGCTGCGTCTATCTCTCTGACAGAAGCTGAAGGCCGGCTCGGGCTTCTGCGTCCACTTCTTCGTTGCCACTAATATTGGAGTGTCCAGGCACCCACCGTACTGTCACGTTCGCTTCTGAAGCAAAGTTTTGAAAGACACGGGTTACCTGCAGCGACGATGATGACTTCCCCGTCCGAAGCGCAAGTACAGCTGCCTGACTGTCAAGAAGAACGAAGATTCTCGCACGACTCTTTCGAGCACGCATAGCTTTCCGAAGTGCTACTGCTGCTCCTGCAATTTCTGCATCATAAACTTCACCGCCATGTAGACGACCGTGACCTTGTGCAAATGTTTGTCCTCCGCGTTGGAGGACATATCTCAACGAGGATCGTCCGTGGCCTTCAGATGACCCATCAGATTAGGCGCATATGTCAGAGGGAGAGACCGTGCTGGCCCAGTTGTAGTGTGCTTTGACTCCCTCTTCTTTCGTTCCAAGACTTGATGTGTACACTGGGCCTGCCAGCTCTTCTGCCTCTTCAGATGACTCCGGGAGCTGTCGAAAAGCACGCTGTAGG